CGTTAAGCCTGAAATTGATTCTCGTAAGCTTGATGGTTGAACGAGATACGGGAAGACTATCCCATTGCAACATGCCCACGATATAAACGTGATCGACCTTTTGAGATTATAGTGAAAATTATTGTTTAGTGACTTTCCCTTACTTCGGCGAATCTCATAAGGTTAAGAGGAGACTTTGATAAGGATTTGTTTTGTAATGTATTGCTCCATACGCAATTTTGCAAGTTTGTCAAATGTATGAATGATTCTTATAGGAGTGAATAAATACAAGTATGTGATTGGCCTTTAAGATTTGCAGGAAAAACTTAACAAAGGAGAGCATCAGAAGCTTGTTGTGTGCAACATAAAGGTTTAGACGTTTTATCATAAGAATTAATGGTTGAAAGCTTAAAATCTTGTTGGAATATGGTGTTAAAGGATTGTCTCAGCCAAGGAGAAGACACTTGAGAGTTATGCCGAGCTAAAAAAAATTACTTCTATCACTTAAAATGAACTTTCCTTGCACTAAATTTGTAACTCATCATGGATTAGATGAGCTTGGGCCAAATTCTCCTACATGGTGGAAGTGTTTTAGTTATGCTTGTTGGGTCAAGTTAGACAAGTCAAGCTAGCTGAGCAAAAGCCGACAAAAGCTAGAAAGCAGACACGGGTAAGCAATCCAAGCATAAGTCATTTGACTGAAAAAGAGAGAAAAGTGTGTCAGGGTCGTTAACTTCAAGAAAATCGACTCGATACAACAGCTTATCCCATAGTAGAACGGATCCAACGGAAGAACCAGTTCCACAATGCATTATCGACCATCTAATGGAGACTCGAAGGCTCCTTACCATAGACTAGAGATAGTCAAACAGGCTAGATCAGCCGACCAAACTCTATTGATTGAGCTGACTAGATCGAGTCATGTTCAATCGACCAAGCTAACTTAGTCGAGTCGAGCCAAGCCAACTAAGCTTGGCTAGTTGAGCCAAAAGGAAACCGAATGATAAGACATCGCTTGTAAAATACTAGAAATATCACAGTATCGGCCTTCTCAAAATGGAGTCAAAAATGTAATATCATTATTATACTACATCCTATATAAATAGGAGAAAATTTTATTATAGAGGGGCCCCCCTTTCCAGGGCTCCCTCTCTAGCTCCCCTCTGAACAATGTTTTGACTGTTCACCTCTCTCTCTCTTCTCATTTATGCTATATTTCTTGGGTGTAATTCACAGACAATCTTAAATTCAACAGTGTTATAATCATATGCATAAGAAAGTGTATTTCGCTTTTAAAATGTAAATAAGAGTGATACTTCTACTGTAACATGAAATATTTGAGTGCCATATATATGTAAATAAGAAAATATAGGTATTAGATAGGTAATTATATGAGAATAGCATGTCAAGCATGTAAATGCCACTATATTATATTTATTTTGAAATAATTTTTTTCTATAAAAAATATTTTTTGATGAGGGTCCTTACCAAATTCTCTCCCCTCTACCAAACCCACTCACCTCAAGTCTAATGATTCACCTTCCCAATACCTAAACCACCGAATCCACTCAGAATTGCAAAAAGCAAAATGATTCTCCTCCCAAAGACCTCAACCACCAAAATTTTATTGAAGGAAATACATATTATGTGAAATTAAAATAGTAAAATATTTGATATGATATCATTGGTTTGTATAAGTGCTGATATGTCATCAAATACTTATGTAGTTCAACATGAATTTTGGGTTAATTAACACGAATCTTGGAGCATTTTTTAGCAAGAAATTCAAACTTAAATTAAAAACAATCCAGAACTCTGATTACAACAATCTTATAATCAAACCGGTCAACCTGACGATATGAACACAATAATATCAAAATTGGTCAAATCAATGATGCAAATCCAATGAGCCCAAGATCACTCAAGTTTGGCATTGTTAAGGCACTAAAAAGTCCACAAAATATCGTCTGATTAGGGAAATCTCTCTGGATCTTCCGATAGAGTGATCCAAATCCCTGTCTTATCTGCAGAGAGATCACTCTTAAATTCTATAAATAGAGTTCCTTCATGAAGTACATTTTTGGCATATTTTTTGCATTTCAAAAAAAAAAAAAAAAAACCCAAACAAACACAAAAAATTAATATTTACACTAATAAAAAATGAACTCATATTTTTGGCATTTCAAAAAAAAATTCCTATCTTTAGAACTTGAAAGACATTTTTTTCTCTCGAAATAAATCTAACCACAAATTTTGACCTTAAAACCAGACAAAAATATCACAATTCAACTTCTTTATGCCCAAACCTCCTTTCTAACCCCTCAATCTCCTTCCGACTCAACCCAAACGCTTTCTCCAACAACACCTCCTTAATCCCCGACCCAAAAATCGTCGCCGGAACCCTAACCACCCCCGGATTCTCACCGTTAAAACTCCCGAATATCACCGCCGGCGAATCCCCAACATTCATCTGAAAATGAACCATCGCCTTGGGAAACACCATCACCTCACCCTTCGCAATCACCTTCGCAAATAGCCTTCCGCCGGAATCCACAAATCCAGAATAGATCTTCCCCTCGACCACCAACGCTGTCTCGGTGGCTCGAGGATGGTAATGAGGCGGATTCACGCCGCCGGGCTCGAGATCTGCGCGAGCGAACGACACCCCGAGGGTGTTGAGTGCGGGAAAGAGAGAAGGGGTGACGGAGAGGCCTGCGAATCCGGTTCCCGGCGATGTTTTGGATGGAGATCTAGCGCCGGAGAAGACGAAGTCGTCGGAGGTGGTGTTGGAGGGGTTTTTGCAAGGGTAGGTGGAGAGGTGGCTGAGGAGAATTGGGGATGGGCCGGGATCGGGGATGCAGAAGTCTTGGATTGGATCGGGGTCGGAGGAAGTGGAATGGAGGAGGAGGAGGAGCAGCAGCGGGAGGAAGAAGATTAGGTTTCCGACCATGTTTTGCTGACTGATGTGGGATTTGGAAGTGGTGTGGGGAGCAGGAATATAAATAGTCATGAAAATGAAACTAAATTACATATTATTTATTAAAGTATTGTTCTATGGCGGCTTGTCACGAACAAAAAGTCTCACATCGACTAAGTGTAAGGCCGAAAAGCAGTATTTAAGTTATGGGCTGCCCACCGCCCTCAAAAAGTTCTTTTGGGATTTGACAAGTGGTATCAGAGTAGATTACTGCTTACACACATAATCCAGTGGGGTCATTGGAGGAGCCGATCCGTGACGAAAGCATTACATGATTGGGTGGAGGAAAATGTCAGGGACAAAAAGTCTCACATCGGCTAGATATAAGGCCGAAAAATAGTATTTAAGCCATGGGTTGCCCGCCACCCTAAAGAGCTCTTTTGGGAGGTGAAAGACTACTCTTGCTAATGAATTTTATTAAAAATTGTGAAAAAATACAGATTTTAATCATAATTTTTTTGAAAATATTGTCAAAATATAATTTATTCAAAAAGATAAATCGTAAAGAACGGATTTTAAATATTTTTATTAAATAGGATTCAAATCTCATCTATTCAGATTTATTAAATTTTGTTGGTGATGACAAGAGATGGTGTGCGTCTGCGGAATTCACAATAAAATAAATGAAATTCAGATTTAAATCTCAAAAATGATGAAACACATGAAGAATGAGATGAAAACCAAGAAAATTGAAATTAATGAAATATTGGATTTAATTTTTTTTTATTTTTATTTTTGAGTAGATTCAAGTTAAACTCATAATTAAATCCTATAAATAATGCGGCTGCCAAACATATCCTTCTTGCTTTAAGAGTATTTATTAAATTTTTATCTAATTGAAGATATAAGAATAGGGTCATGTAAGTTAGTGAAGCGAACTCGTGAGCCGGCTCGTTAATTGAGTTTGATGAGCTAACAAGCCAAGCTTTGGCTAGCACTGACTTGACTCGGAAGCTCGTGAGCCGGCCCATTTAAAGTAATATTAATATAAAAATATTTAAAAATATATTAAATTTAGAGAGTTTTTCTTTATAGTTGATATACCTCCAATAAATGTTTATGATACAACATGAATCTCAAGATATAACACGGATCTCGAGCCAAGCTTTTGAGCATGAAACATTCAAATTTTGATTAAGGTCATCAAGAGCTCCGATTTCAGGAAACTTACAGTCAAACTGACAGGTTCGACAATACAGACACAGCGGTACCAATATTGATCCAATTTGAAATAAATTGAGCCTCCTATCAAACCATTTCACCGCTTTGGAAAATTTTTTTAGCTCGTGTTCGATTTGTTCGCTAATCAAACAAGCCCAACACAAATATTTTTTTTTTTTTTTTGCTCGATGTATAATCTAGTTGAACACGAAAATTAAATAATTAAATTATATATATTTTTGTTTGTTTGTGTTTCTCTCGTTTTGACTATAAATAAAAAATTATATATATACATAGTGAGTATTATTTTTAAATAATTTACTTGATTACAATGCTACCAAGAATTATAATCAATTACAATTACAAATTAAAAATAGAATAAAAATATATTAAGTACCATTTAAATGAATATCCTAAAGAAAATAAAAGATTGAAATCTTGCCCTACCTTTAACATTCTACGACTATGTGACTAGAGTTGTCCAAATAGCTCATTGTTCGTGAACAGCTCGTGTTCGACTCGATAAGCAAACGAGTCAAATACGAACAAAGTTTTTGAGCTCGATATATAAACAAACCAAACACAAATAATAATATTTTTAACAAGTCGAGTTTAGACTCGCTCAAGCTCAATTTGTTTACTCCCCTAACGACTGCATGTGTGACTAGGGTTGGTAAAACGACACTTTGTTTGTGAACAAACTAATTGAACATGAACAATTTTTTTTTATTAGAAATATAAACAGTTCAAACACGAATAGTAGTATTTGTTAATGTGTTGAACACGAGCTTCGGCTCGTTTACACCCATAGGGAGGAGAGTTTGAGACTTGAGGGAGAGTTTGAAGGTTTGAGAAGGATCTGAACCACCAACCACCGTCGAGCACAACTGATCTTCTTTGACCATCGCTGACCGCCGTCGAGCACCAGAAAAGTTTGCATAATTATGAGTGTATTTGGTGGGGATAAATGTTTCTTTCTTTGAGCTGGTTGGAGATTGCGGTAGAGGACTTGGAGCTGAATCGAAGAAGAAAAAATTGCATATTTGAATGAAAGAGCTGTACCTACATTCGGGGCAAAGTGTTGCTGGAAGAATGGAAGTTTGGGTCTTAGAAGGCACAAATTTCCGATGGCATGAGATTGCACCACTTATTGATCCTGCAACTGAGTGAATATATTTTTCTATCTAAATCTATCTCATTATCGTTCACAGTTCATCAGTTTTATATCTTATGTGCTCTGTCTCCTCCAGGATTTGTTTCTCTTTTCTATTGAGAGATAAATGCATTGAATGTCTTATAATGAACGATGCAAGTTTAGTTTTGATGTTTCTGATGTATATATATATCATTAAAAGACTCTAAAATAACAAGTATGTAAATGCTGAATTTGATCCAATACTTCCATGAAAACTATATTTTGATAAAGGAATCTCCAAAGCAATGATAGGAACTGCTCACATACTTGTTATAGCTCAGAAATGTAAACAAAAGTATTATTATGAGGCACAACGAATTCATCTAATATTCCAGATTTAGGAGCTAAACATTCAGAAGACAGGTAAGTAAATGAACAGGTGAAGGTTAGATGAATATGCCTCTAAGCTGAAGGTGGGGAGGAGGAAGGGTTACTGTAAGCGACGCTAAAGCTGTCGCGATGGGGGTGAAGGAAGTAGGAGAAAAGAAAAAAAAGTGACGGCGGGGGAGCCAAGACCTTTGTGCCGTTCTTGGAGTGAAACAGAGAAGGGCCTAGAGAAATGGTGCGAGGTAGTTGAGGGCATCGGGAAGGAGGAAGACTTAGCCGAGCGAGGGTTTCAGGAGAAGGGGCTTGAGGAATCAAAGGCTTACCGAAACATGAAGCTCGGAGGAGAGGTAAGCGAGGGCTTCGGGCGCAGAGGAGGAAGGGTTTTCGGGCAGAGGGCGATGGGAAGTCTCCTCAGGGTCGTGTGATGGAGAAGTTTCGTTTGGTGCCTCATGAGGGAGAGGGGTGTGTGCGTGGGTACTTTTTTTTTATATGTATTTATTTTATTTTATTTTATTTATTATATTTTATTATTATTATTTCATTTAAAAGCATTAATTTGCGTGCAATTCACTCTCACTTGGAATCATATTGATACATGTGTCATCCCCAGGTAAAATCGACATTCCAGACGAGCTTACATGGTCCGTTTCATCATCTGAGGTTGTCTGGACGTATCCATTGACGATCGAGTCAATTTGAGTCAGTTTCGCGAGCGACACAACGAATATTATTTGCTGATCCAATAAAAATCATCTGACAAACAAAATGTCGACCGACCTTCACCTAAGCGAGAGCCGAAGTCTAGCAGAATGATCCTGACAACGTGCCCCTCAACACATGCCTGAGGGGTCTCAAATTCACGTCATGAGGGCTTTCGTTTCATTTAGACTTGACTTTGATTTTGATTAATGAATTTGGGCTTGGATTTGATTTGCATGAATTTTAAAAAACTTATTTAATTTTGATTTTGAAGTGTTTGTGAATTGTAGTGTGAATGTGATGTGAATTGTGATGTACATGTGTGTGGTGTAAATGTATGTGATGTTCTTAAGAAAATTTGAAATCCCTAAGTCCAAATGTCTCCTTAGAGCTTCTCCAATTCTTATGGGAACTCATGTTGAGTTTCAATGTGTTGGTTTCAATCGACTATACAAAAAATTGGGGATTCAATATCATACACATTGTTAGGTATGACTCATATATCATAAATGGGATAGATGTTGGAGCAGAAGGATTTGTCCAATCGGGAGAGTTTCATTATGTGAGTTGGGGGTGCGGGAGAAACACCTTTCAGTTTGGTACAGGGGTAATTTAAATAATTACATAATGTACTATAGTGTTATATATGTGTCCTGTTGTAACCCTAGGAGTGTCTCTGAGTCTTTGAGAATTTTGAATCTTGTATTTTATATTCTTTTCTGAATATTAAAAAGGAAGTCGTTGCTCCGCTCTCGATGATGTAGATATTTTTGTCGAACCACGTAAATCTCTGTGTGGTATTCTGGATTTGTGTCGATTCCTGTTTTTCTTTGCCCTAATTTCTCAACAAGTGATTCAGAGCCAGGTTCTAGGGCAGAAGAGGAGAAATTTTTTCGGCGCAGAGAAGAAGAAGCGCGCGGAAAGAAGTTTGTGAATCGCAGCTGCGGGAGTTGGCCAATTGTCGTGGTCACGGCATGAGGGAGGAACCCAGGCTTCTCAGAGGAGCTCGTGGGAAGAGTTTCGCACGGGAGTTCAGCGCCGACGCAGGCATTCACGCTGGAGGCTTTCGGGGAATTCGGCGGATAGCTGGAACGGTTCGGCAACGAGGGTTACGGCAGTTTCAGGCATCGCAGGAGCATAAGTTGTTTGACATGGGAGGTAGGTTTCTGGGCAGACTGAGGAAGCGGAGGAGGAGCAGAATTGGAAGGGTGGACGCGAAAAAAGAAATTCACGCGGATAAGGAAAGTCCGCGGAAAAGGAAATTTATTGCGGAGATATTCCAAGACTCAGGAAAGACAAAAAAAAAGGAATATGGTGCTGCAATCGGGAAAGTAAAGATTTCTTTCTTGAAGGAAAGCGGAGACGGGGCTTTTCTGGAAGGAAAGCGGAGGCGGGGCTTTTCTGGAAGGAAAACAAAAACATAGCTTTTCTGAGAAGGAAAGCGAAGCTTTTCTATAAGGAAAAATGAGCTTTTCTGGAAAGCGGAGACAGAGCTTTTATTGGAAGTGTAAGGAAAAATGATTTCTGAGAAAGTTTGATTAAGGATAATTTAATTAAAGGAAATTCATTTTTATAATAAACTTAATTAAGATAAATATTTAATTAAATAAACTTAATTAAAAGAATATTTCAATTCTTTTTTGGAAAGATTCTGTTGCTTTTTTTCTGGGAAACTTAATTAAGGGAATCTTAATTAAGGGATTATTTAAAAAAGATTTGTGACTCAACCCACATTGGTGCATAAGAAACTTCATGATAAATTTTCTCCTAAGGGGCTGGATGTTCACCAAG